ATGAAGCCTTCAGGGTACGTGCGAGTGTGCAAAGTTTTGGGCCCATGGAGGAGAACATGGGTGTATGACAAGGAATCCCCCTCCTGCTACTCTCAGAGTTCCTAGCCCCTCTCCTGGACCCCCCCAGGCCCATCCCAGGCCAAGGGCGAATTACTTGAGTCCTTTACCCTAGCGGTCCCCAGAGACCCCTACCTTCCCCAACATTCCCAGGAACCTGAGCCTAAATGCTGTCATTCATTCTCAGGTGACCCTGTGAGATCCCAGCTTCTTCTAGACCCAGACCCTGAAACTATCCTGAGGCCCATGGTGGGGGGTGGGGTGGTAGGCTCTGGGGAGTGGTCCTGAGGCCTGACTCCCCTCTCTGTTCCCATCTACAGCCCTGCATCCTCATGAACAACACTCAGCAGCTACGAGTTCAGCTAGAGAAGATGTTTGAAGCCATGGGAGGAAAGGAGGTGTGGGAGAGCCCAGGCAGGGCTGGAAAAGGGGAGGGGTCCCCCCACCCCCGTCTCCCTGTAGGCCCTAGAGCTCATATGCCAACAGGCTTGGGGATGAGTTCCAGCTCAGACACTCCTTCAAACCCAAGCTAGCAGCTTAACTCTCTATGCCTCAGTTTCCTCTTCAGCCCTTTGGGATCCCTGTCCCTTGGTCAGATGAGAAAATGCCTGTACATGTGGATGCTTGATTAAGCACTGACCTGACACCCCTTCCTTTCAGCTGGATGCCGAGGCCAGTGACATCTTGAAGGAGCTGCAGGTGAAACTCAACAATGTCTTAGATGAGCTCAGCCGGGTGTTTGCTACCAGGTGGGGGCATCTCCGGGGCTGGGGGCAGTGGGGAGGGAACAGAACAGCCCCCAGACCTCTGACCCTGGGGCATCTGGAGACTCAGCAGATGCACTGGTGAAGACTTAAGAATCAGAGCAAGACAAAACTGAGCTCAAAACCTGGCTTCACCGCTTACTAGCTGTGTAGCCTTGGGTGAGTTCCATAACCTCTCTGAGCCTTAGTTTATTCACCTGTAAAGTGGGAATTCCGAAAATAATAGTACCTGAGTGGGACTGTGAGAACAAAATGCACCATGCAGGTAGATGTCTTAGCCCAGGGCCCGATTCTGTTGCTGCTATTCCCCCTCCTTGCTCAGTTATGTACTGTCGCTTCCTGGTGCTTGTGACATAAGCTCAGGGTCTACAAATCAGTATTTGTAGCCTCACCTGGTCCTTCCTCTGGGAAGCAAGGAGAGTCTGGTCTGAGCCCCTCCCCTATGTGCCCCCAGCTTCCAGCCGCACATCGAGGAGTGTGTCAAACAGATGGGTGACATCCTTAGCCAGGTTAAGGGCACAGGCAATGTGCCAGCCAGTGCCTGCAGCAGCGTGGCCCAGGATGCTGACAACGTGCTGCAGCCCATCATGGACCTGCTGGACAGCAAGTGAGCTGGGCTGGGTGGGTGGGGCTGGCCTGGCAGTGGCCAGGGTGGGGCCAAAGAGACCCAGGGGCTGACCCAGAGAGGACATTCAGGGCATGTTTGCTGGGTGGTGGTTAGATAGTTTAGGTGGGTGAGTAGGTTGAGGCATGAAGAGATGGAAAGATGGGCGGGCAAATAATTGGAAGGATTGGTGGGTAAATATTTATATAGGTGAATGAATGGTGTTTGGATGGATAGATGACATGAGGGATAAGCAGAGGGGTAGATGCATGGACTAAAAGATAAATGTTTAGAAGGCTAGATGGAGAACAGATGTTTAAAAGCATGGATAGATGGATGGTTGGGTAAATATTTGGATGATGAATATATGTTTGAATGGATGGATGGATGGATGGATGGGTGGGTGGATGGATGGATGGATGGGTGGGTGGGTGGATGGATGGGTAGATGGATGGGTGGGTGGATGGATGGATGGATGGGTGGGTGGGTGGATGGATGGGTAGATGGATGGGTGGGTGGATGGATGGATGGATGGGTGGGTGGGTGGATGGATGGGTAGATGGATGGGTGGGTGGATGGATGGATGGATGGGTGGGTGGGTGGATGGATGGGTAGATGGATGGGTGGGTGGATGGATGGATGGATGGGTGGGTGGGTGGATGGATGGGTAGATGGATGGGTGGGTGGATGGATGGATGGATGGGTGGGTGGGTGGATGGATGGGTAGATGGATGGGTGGGTGGATGGATGGATGGATGGGTGGGTGGGTGGATGGATGGGTAGATGGATGGGTGGGTGGATGGATGGATGGATGGGTGGGTGGGTGGATGGATGGGTAGATGGATGGGTGGGTGGATGGATGGATGGATGGGTGGGTGGGTGGATGGATGGGTAGATGGATGGGTGGGTGGATGGATGGATGGATGGGTGGGTGGGTGGATGGATGGGTAGATGGATGGGTGGGTGGATGGATGGATGGATGGGTGGGTGGGTGGATGGATGGGTAGATGGATGGGTGGGTGGATGGATGGATGGATGGGTGGGTGGGTGGATGGATGGGTAGATGGATGGGTGGGTGGATGGATGGATGGATGGGTGGGTGGGTGGATGGATGGGTAGATGGATGGGTGGGTGGATGGATGGATGGATGGGTGGGTGGGTGGATGGATGGGTAGATGGATGGGTGGGTGGATGGATGGATGGATGGGTGGGTGGGTGGATGGATGGGTAGATGGATGGGTGGGTGGCTGGATGGATGGATGGATGGATGGATGGATGGATGGGTGGATGGATGGGTGGATGGATGGGTGGATGGATGGGTGGATGGATGGATGGATAGATTGATGAGTGGGTGGGTGGGTGGATGGATGGATGGATAAAAAGAAAGAGAAAGAATGAAAGAAAGTTGGAGAAGGGATAGTTTGGTGGATGACTGGGTCAGTTGGTTGGATCATGGTAGACTGCCCTCTTTCCTTCAACCTCCATATATCCAATCACGAATTCTTTGCTGTTTTCTCTCTCAAGTCTGCCCTCCCCTGACCATTCCCCTCCTCTTCCCCCGGGCATGGCTCTAGCCCCCTCATAATCCCTGGTTTCCAGCCTTCCCATTCCAGTTCATCCCCCACACTGGTCTTTCCAACATGAAAGTCTGGCTGTCTCTCTTTCAAACACTCCACGGCTCCCTCTGCCCCCATCTTCACAATAAGGTCCATGCCTTCTTTCCAGATGCTGAGGCCCCTCCTCACCCACCTCTCACCCACCATCCTACCTCTTGCCTAGATGTGCCTGTGTCTGTCTGGGGCCAGGCATGGGGAGGAGGCATGGCCAGGTGGGAGAGAGACCACGCCCTTCTGCCAGCCCCGTTATAAGTCCAGAGGAGGCCCCTACAGCTCCCAAACCCCTGCTGACCTGTCCAGCCACTATTCCCTCTTCTCCACATGCATCATATATTGTAGTCCTGTCAGACCACCCAGGGGTCCCTGTACAGGCTGTGTGCCCTCTTGCAGGTCCATAGAACGCTGTTCTGCCATACCCACATGTTGAGGGGAAGGGGCTCAGTGGGTTGGGGCCAGGTGGGCCCTCTCTCAGACCTGCTCCTCGCCCCCAGCCTGACTCTCTTTGCCAAAATCTGCGAGAAGACGGTGCTGAAGCGGGTGCTGAAGGAGTTGTGGAAGCTGGTTATGAACACCATGGAGAAGACCATCGTTCTGCCACCTCTCACTGACCAGACGGTGAGGCCCGCAGGGGGCCAGAGGGGGACACCTGGGCCACTTCCTCTGTAAGAGCTCAGAGAGCATGGTGCTCAAGGCTGGGGAGATGAGAACGAAGGCACTGGGGCTCAGAGAGGTTATCCAGGTGCAAGGGCCACTGCATCATAGAAGCCCAGAGGTCCGTGGGGCCATTCAAAGATAAGAGAGGTCACACATGGATCAAGGAGCATCAAAGGGTTAAAGAGGTCATTCAGGGGTCAGTTGGGTTTATTCCAAGGTCAAAGAGGTCAAATAGAGTCAAGAGATCATTCAAAGGTCAAATCTCATTCAGAAAACAGGTCAGCTTGAGGATAAAGGCCATACACAAGTCATAGAGGTCCTAGGGGTCAGCGGGTTCATCACAAGGCTTTGGAGGGGGTCAATCAAGAGACAAGGAGGGGAAAGACTGTGAACTTCAGAGACCAATAAACGAGAGATGCTCCTGACAGTCAGCCAGAAGTCACGGAGAGCATCCAAGGTCAGAGAGGTCAGCGGTCATCCAGAGACCAGAACCGTGCACCTGGGGGCCTTCTGGGCATAGACCAGAGGCCATGATCCCCAGGGATCAGGCTGTCCAGTGCGGGTGGGGAAGGAGACATCTGCGGAGGGGTGTGGCTGGCACGGGCCCCTCCTGGAGGCGTCAAAAGCCTGAGATCAGCGATGGCACGTGGGTTGAGGGCACGGCGTCCAGCAGCAGGACGTTTCTGGGTGGACGGGGGAGGCCTAGAGAGGGTGGGCGGGGGGCCGCAGAGACGTGGAGGAGGCTCGGGCATTCCAGCCTCCGTTCCACTGGGCCGGGCTGGGGCAGGGGTTTGCTCCCCAGTGCCGTCTCCGCCCCCTCCCTGGCCTTCCCCGAAGACTCATGGTGCCTTATCCCCCCTTCCCCCGCCCCTCCCCCATCACGGCTGACAGATGATCGTAAGTAGAGGCCCGTCTGTCCGTCTGTCTGTCCGTCCGCTCTGTGTCTGGACTCGGCCAACCGCGTGGCTGCACCCCACCCCTCACCCAGCGCCCCGTCCTCACCCACCGAACCTCACCCACCGTCCTACCTCCTGCCTAGATGTGCCTGTGTCTGTCTGGGGCGAGGGACGGGGAGGGGGCGGGGCCGGGAGGGAGGAGGCGACGCCCACACGCCCCGCCCCATTATAAGTCCAGAGGAGCCTGCCAGCTCCCAGACCCTGGTCCCAGCTCCTTCTTCACATCTGTCCTTGCCCTTTAGTTGGAATCCACCCTTACTCCCGTGGTCTAACGCCACCAGGACATCTGGCTCTCTCCCCAAAGCTAGAAAGAGGTTCAAAGTCAAGAGGGCCCTCTGACCTCTAGTTTGGGCTCTGAACTGTTAGCAGTTCTGCAGAATGCAGGTCTTCATCATGTATGTTCCTACTCAGCTGCTCAGTGCAGGCCCCCACCTCTGACTCCCCTGAAGTCCCAAGCACCAGACTCTGTTCCTCTGTCCCCCACCCCCTATCTACCCTCTTCCCACTAC